AACTATCTGATTTAACATATAATAATGAAAGAATAAAAAATGAAGACTTTTTGAAAAAACGTTTTGGAAAAAGAAAAAAAAAACAGTTTTCATCATCATTTTTATTTTATTTTAATATCTACAAAAACAATATAAACATAAAATAAAATTGCTAAGATAAATAGAACAACAAGGAAAAACATTTTTGCAAAACTTAATTAGAATTAAGTAGTGGATTGATCTGGTGAAAATTCATTCAGGGGGCCTCAATACATTTACAAAAATATTTTTGAGAGACAATTAAATGTGGCTAGCATCTTGTGTCAAGGAGATTATCTAATCATTGCCTGCAGCCTAATCACATAAAACTTGCAAGAAATAATTACATAAATCTTGAATTTCTGCACAACCATACTTTAAAAAAATATGGGAAAGAAGGAGATAGGGTATAAAACAATATGTGGTGTTATTTTTATTTCAAGCATAAAACACAAATAGGAATAACACCACATAATATAATAACGAAAATAACTGCATTGACAACAATATTAATAAAAACAGGATTTGCAAAAAAAAAAATTTGGATTTTGAGGGTTGTGACAACAATGAATTTAAAATTAAAAATGCAGTATTAGCTTCCTTGCTTGTAGTGGTTCACTCGGTTTTGGGGAGGTGAATACAGTAAGTAAAAAGTAGTAAAACATGGGTGAGAAACAAACTGCAAATAACAATGCAGAAAAAGGTAAATAATTTTATTGCTAAAACTTACATCTTTTATTGCAGCCATGAGATTTACATTTAACCCATTCAAATTTTTAGAATAAGATGCAATATCAACTAATGCATAGTAGTCTTGCGCGTCCACAATTGGTAAAGAATATATAAATCTAAACTCACTGTCATCACCACTAAACTGACTAACTGTAGAATGTGTTTCATTAACTGTTATCTGATACATACTAAAATCAAAAACAAAATACTTGACTATTAAACAAAATACTTGACTGTCAATGCGATTAATGCAAATTTCAAACAAAGACATTAAACCCAAATCAAAACAGCAAACATATACTTTCATAAAATTCATTATAAATATAAAGTAAACTATTCAAAAGTATTTATCTATTAATAAAAATAACTTAAAAATAATAAATTTTTAAAAAACTCTAAGATAAAAATATTAAATTTATATTAAAGTAATGTTAAAGGCTTTTAACATCAACTGTTTTTAACATCAAAACAAAATATATTTTATTTTAACATCAAAAATATTTTTTGTTTTGGTAGTAAAAACTTTTAACTTAAATTAGTTAATACTTTATACTAATAATAGTAAACAATATTATTAAAAACACTATGTAACAATAATAGTAAACAATATTATTAAAAACACTATGTAACAATTCTTTTTTTATTTCAGGGTACTAAGTGTATTTTCCTAACCTTTAATCCCTAAAACAAATAAAAATAGCTGTTGTTCTACTATCTTGTACAGGTTAAGGAGTTGCAAGTGACAAATATTTCACATATTGCTGTATAACAGACACTTCAATGCTTACATTGTACAAAATAATTATTTTTCTAACAAAAAACAAATCTCCAGGTGTATATAACTCAAAATAGAATTTTGAGATGTTATGGTCTTGCATTTGTACAGCTATATATCATAGTAAAGGATGTTATACATCAACACTTTACCTAGTATAAAGTAACAAACAAAAACTTCTGTTTTTAAACTTGCATAACTGATTATATCTATTGTTACACTATATACTGTTATATATACTGTTACAGGGGATACAAGAAATCCATTAAGTTTGCTAAACCTGGTAGCAACCAACCTGTAACCAAATTAAATACAACCTGTAACCAAATTAAATACAACCTGTAACCAAAATATTTTTTTATAAATTGCAAATGACCTATAAACATTTAATGGGTTCCCAATATTACTACAATAAAAAAATTTTGATTGAAAGCATGTCATGCTGGATCTCAAATTAAGCAAAAAAAATAATGTTTTATAAAAGTATTTTTTATATTATAAAAAATTATTATAAAAAAAATATGTAAAAATTAACTTTTTTTATTTTTAGTTTAAAAAAATATTTTTTGTAAAAAAATCTAAAATAATATTTTAAAATATTACTTTTAAAATTTGTATATTCAAAAATATATGTATATTTAAAATTTGAGATTCAACATGACAAATTTTTGATAACATTAGGGATCCAATAAATGTTCAAATGGGGTTTAATCTGCTGCTGTTTCCAATTATTAATAACATTTTAATAGTTTCTAAAACATTGTAAAACTGTTTTGAAAAGACTTTCTGGAACAACCTTTTAATTTTCAAGATTTAGAACTTTCTAGAACAATCAAAAGCTAGATTTATATCTGATATCTCTGTAACTGTTAATAGTAAGCATTGTTATCAAACAAGTGAAGTTAGTTTATGTGCTACTTAAAATAGAACTAAAAAATTACACAAAAAAAGTGATACTACTGTGCAAAGGAAAAAAAAAATCTGGTTTGGCTTTTTAATGTTTTTTTTTTTTTAATTTTTTACAATGCACTTTACAATAAATGTGTAAGGAGGGGAAATTTTTTTTTAATGTTGTTCACCTCCCCAAGGCTGAGAGGGTCACTATCAATCTATCTATCAATATATACAATCATTATCACTATCAATATATCATTATCACTATCAATATATCATTATCACTATCAATATATACAATCAAAAAAGCTACTTATGATGTTCTAAATGAACTGTTTGGTATCACTAAAATTACCAGTCAGCAGTTATCCACTAAAGTCAAACATCATTACCACCAACTAGTGAAAGACAAATGCAAAGAAGTATACTCAACAGGTAAAGTTGCAAGTAAGGAAAATATTTACCCTTTAAACGGATGAAAGCTGACTGCTGAATCAGCCTCAATATCAAAGTTGAACACATTACAATTGTGTGTTTATTGCTAAAAAAATCTACCGATAGCAAATATGAAAAAATAATAAGTACTTGTTCACAACCAGAAAATACAAAACTGCAATAAAATTAAAGTTAGTAAAGTAATTAAGTAAAACTGCAACTAACTTAGTGACACCCACAGAAGTTTAAACAAATAAAGCTACTGAAATCTAAAAGGAAATGTCACATAATAGCATTGATATTTAGTCAAGTCAACAATTTTCAGTTAGCATTGATATTTAATCAATTTCAATTAGCATTGATATTTAGTCAAATCAACAATTTTCAATTCAACATTGTATTTAAAAAATGATCAAACTAAAGTTATTACTGTATTGTCAATTCAACATTGTGTTTAAAAAATGTTTAAACTAAAGCTATTGCTGTAGGAATCACAAAAGAATTTGACAAATATAACTTGTGGAGTTCAATAATGATGATACATTCAGTGTTAACAATGGGAAAAAGAATGGAGTAGTTGTCCAACTGCACAGAATGTTTTTGGTAAAGAATACAAACAAACCACCATTCATCAGTTACCACCACCACATTCTGGATAGAATTCTTTAGGTGTTGATGAAGAATTGCTTGTAGCACAAAAGTGTTGAACATTGCATATTTATTGGTACCTAAACTTTAAAAGTAGCATGAGAAATTTAAAGCAAAATGAAAGAGAATAAATACCTGATTAATCAAGTTGGAGAGATAATATGAAACTTTTTTACTACCTAACACAAGTGTTCTGATTCTTGGAAGAAAATGGACATTTCTCATTGATTAACTTTCAGAAAATCTAAACATCAGCAATACAAGGTGGAAATTAAGAGTGAATCTAGCCATTTTTGTATTCATTTTTATACCTACAACAAAAACGCAGATTCATTGCATATGACTGATCAGACTATACAATAAAAACAACTTAAGCAGAAATCATCTGTAATCGAGATACCAAAAACCAATTATGTTTTTAAAATTATAAGTGCTGAACAAATGATCAAAGTAATTATATATATTCAAATTATATATACAACAAATTTGACCCCTTTTGACTAGTTAGTCGGCAAATGTCAATAAGTCAGTCTCCAAATATTAAAAAACGAGGACTTTTTTTTTTTTATTAAGACAGTTGGCAAAAGTTGTAATGGCAGCCACACACACACACCCACACCCCCCACATGACACCTACTTGCGTATATCAGCCTGTCCTGATTATGTAGATATACTTTTTTTGATGTCCTGATGTGAAAATTTTAATAAATGTTTTTACCCTCACAATTCACAATTATCAACTAATCACTTCCTCATAATTAGGATTTAATAACAACTAATAATAATATGTAATTAAATTTTAGTTGAAGCACATCAGTTTGAGAACCCATATTGGTCCAATAATATCATATCAATCCAAGAATACAATATATTGGGCTAATAATAACATACCGGTCAAACAATACCAGTTCAATAATATGAAACTGTCTCATTATAGTCTAACAAAATTTTTTACTTTTACTGCTCATTAGCTGTATGTATCATAAGCACACTGCGCTGATGCTGTATAGTGTAGAGTGGATATATTATAATATGGTTGTGGAACAAAAATACTATTAACTTGAAACAATGATCATCTTGAAATAGGGATACACTGTAAATCAAATACAAATTTTGATTTCCATTATAAAAATATAATTTTATTACATTGTTTGTTTGTTGCATTTACTTGTTAAAAAATCCACATTTTAAAAATTAAGGTAACAGTAAAATCTATATTGTCATAAAAAAACTCTAAATTAAAATTTGATAAAGACAACTTCAAAAATATTGAGGAAGGAAGATTTCAACTTTAGAAAGGTTGAGTTTAGGAAGCTCAAGAACAACAGTGATTCCAAATGTTAACCCTGTACCAAATGGCATATAGATAATATATCGCTTTATATTAATTAAAAAACTAATATAAAAATTAAAAAAAAATACCTTGATGAAGATGGACGATATTTAATATCTGTTTCTGTAGTAGTCTTTGTCTGCACCATAAAATTACACATTTCCACTATAACAATTACAAATCTTATTTATAATATTAAACTTATAATAAAATAATTTTAGTAAAAACTTTTTTGTAGGGATGTACGGGAATTCTATTCCGGCAAGAATTTGTGACTTTTAAATCATCAAGATTACAGCCGGAAATTCAATATTTCAGTCAGAATTTTTTTTTTTACCTTCATTTCTTGAAACATGTGACACAGACTGTGTAAACTAAATCAAAAAATCGTTGTCTTACAGGGCAATGAAGAACTATTGGTCAACTTAGGTAAAAAATATGTTCTAAATAAACACATTGAAATTTTATTAGCAATAATCAATTATGTAAGGATTTCTGGAAGTTTAGGAATATTATGGAAGAAAAAGAGTTGTTCTCCAGTTTTGGGCAAAAAACTAGCTTATTTTCATCAAAAATGTTACCTGCCCAGGCTTTCACAGGAAGACATGCGATTTCATGTCTTTATATGACCACGCAAAAAAAAAAATGTTTTAACGATTTGACCACGGCATATTTCTAAAATTTAAAAACGCACTACAAAAACTTACCTAAACGTATCTGAAAAAAAAATTTAAAAAAATAGTAAATATAAACGAAAGAGAAAAAAAAAAATACTTAGTTTAAGCAAAAACACAAAAAAATAAATATATATATATATATAACGCAACTAAAACAAAACTCATCAAACTAATATGCTTAGTCTATTTAATTTACGCATTAAAAAACCTTTCCAATCTTTGTTTCAACATTTTTATATATATTTTATTTGTTTAATATGTTCAAAAGTTAAATGTTTCTCATAAAAAATACATAATTATATAAATAAAATAAAAAAACATTTTATAAATGCTTTTTTTTTAATTAATTAGAAGCGTTTTTTTTTTTACTTTATTAAAAGCGTTTCGATAATATAAAAGCATTTAAGATCAAACTTATTATATTGTAACGTTTTCTAAAACTTTTTTTTTTAACGAAATTTTGTTTATCTTTTCAAATGCATTAACTTTAATCATTCTTATATTTAAACTCGTTAAAGAGATTTTAGTAGTCGTAGAATGTCATCGTTTATAAAAACATAACAATTTTTTATTTTTTAATAAGATTTATTTTAGAAATAAACACTCAAAAAATTTATATGTTTTAGATTAAAAAAATATATACAACTGTCAATTATATTCAAAAAACAAAACTTTTTTTCAGTAAATTGTTACTTTATTTAAAATTGTTTCGCTAATATAAAAACATTTGTCAAGAAGTTTTGAAGTAATTAATTTCACTTTTTTAGAATATTTTTTATTTAGCGCGTTTCTAAAATGTTTTTTGAATTAGCCGCGGTCAAACCGTCATAACAAAATGAAACTTGCATGGTCATATTAAGAAGTGAAATCGCATGTCTTCCTGTGAAAGCCTGCTGCCTCTGATAATAGTCTCATTTTAAATATTACTTAATTTTTGAACAGTTAAAAAAATATGTAGGATGCCTATAACAGTAAATATTTCAATTTTAGTCTAAATGGAAAAAAAGAAAATAAAGAAACAATTTTATAAAAATATTACATATATATATATAAATATATATATATATATATATATATATATATATATATATATATATATATATATATATATATATATATATATATATATATATATATATATATATACAATTATAAATATAAATAAAATTCAAAGAATGATAAAATAAATAAAGGTAAAACCAGAAAAAAAAATTAAAACATTTAAATAATGTAAACTTAATTGTAAACGAAAGTCCAAAAAAAAAAAATTATCACAGCTCAAATAATCTTTATCATTCCTTCTCATGAATAACTAGGCTAATACAAGAGCAAATCAAGAGAGGGGTTCTCCCCCTCTCCTCAGATCTTTGATTTATTTTTTTAGAAATTGATGTTTAAAAATGTAAGTAACTTAGGCTGTTTAAAAGTGTCATGAAATTTAATAAAATTTTGTGGTGCAAGTTTAAAATTTAATTAAAAATTTAATAGGATGCAGAGTGCAAAAAAATCAATAAAAGTGCGCGGATTTCTTAAAAGAGAGACAGAAAAACAAACACAGGCTTCCCACTCTTAAAATAGGGTAAAATTTTATGATTTTGGGACAATTTTTCCAAGTTTTTTATGACTTTTTAGGACAAATTAGTGTTAAATTTAGGACATTTTAGGACAATCGAAAGTTAGGAATGAGTTTTTGTATTTAATTATTTAAATTTAAGTTTGGGAATTAACCCTTTAAATTCAATTACTATTAATATATTATTTACCCTTTGATACCCTTGGAAATTATTTACGTTTATATAAAGTAGATAATAAACAAAATATAATTTTAACAAAAAAATCTTTAACTTTACAACAACAACTCTTACATGTAAAACCTTTAAGTAATAACTTATATCTAAAATACTAAACAAAGTTAAATATACAATAGAATCCTGTTAAATATACAATAGAAACTCTGACCCTGGATAACTCGGACATAACAAAACATTTTCACAGATTTTTTTGTTAAGTAATCATTTTTGTTAATTTTGTTACATTGATACATCTGTTGATACTTACAAGTCAGACTATATATCAATTTCCCTTTAAAGTCTGACTTATAAGGATTCTACAGTATTTTTACAATTTGTGATATATATTAAAGGAAGTAATAGAAACAAAGTATTAAATGTTAATAGATTTTTTAAAGTTAATTATCTGAAAAAACTGTTTTATTCAAAAATAAAATTCTAAATAAAATAATAATTCTTTTAGAGTTATAATACAACTAAGTTAAAATAGAGTTTAAAAGCAAAATAGTTAGAGTTATAAACAATATAATTCTAAATTGACTAAATTGACAGTTCTTTACTCCTTTTTTCTAAAACGTCTTGTTCATCAGCAAGCTCCTTTCTTCTTTTTATCCCTGTTTCAATTTTACACTGGGCTCGCTGCAATTCATTTCTTGTGCTGTTTTTTTGAAGCAAACACTTCTTTAAATCACTATTTCCTTCAAAAAACTAAATCATCAGCAACTGATAGACCGTTTTTTATCTGCAAAAAAACTTTTACTTCATGCAAGAATTAAAAAAATGAAAATTAAGTACAAATCACATTACCAAAACAATTTTCATGAAGTTAGTATAACATACCTGTTGAATGGATGCAAGAACAGCTTCTTTTTCATTTTTCAAAACAGTTCTTTTGCCTCCTCAGTTTCCTTAGTTTTTATATGCTTCTCTTCCTTTTCTTTCAACCTGCGTTTAGCTTCCAGGTCAGCTTTGTAACTTGAGTGAGCAAATTTAACTGATTGTATAAATGACTTTGTTATTGGAATATCGAGTATGGATCCAAAGCTTAATATAGTATCTTTTACAAACTTCAAAGCCTCAATTTTCTCTGGATCAAGTGAAGTACCATGTAACTGAATAATATGTTTGTTAATTGAAAATCCATTCTCTGGGGCACTATTTCCATGCGAAAGTGAAGAAACAACTTTGAAAAGAGATGTAATATTGGGAAACTTAGGTAAACCACTATCATTCAAAATTTTAGTCTCAAAGGAATTGATTAGTGTATCAATACCAAAACTACATAAAAGTTTTGAAACTATAGGAAGACCCGCAAGCTGAAAGGCTTTTTCCCAGTAAGAAGTTTGATTTCTCCCAATTGAAACTAATTCTTCCGAACATTTATAATAGCACTCTGGAAGCAATTCCATTTGGTAAATTCGCCATTCGCTTCGTACAATATCACAAACCTCTTCCTTTGATGAACAAGATAGAAAAACTTTACATAAGACTACTTCCAGTGATTTGCATACTTATAGAGTGAGATTTGAGACAGCTGCTAGAGACTTGTTACTACCTTTTTTAAAGGATCAAGAAAGATTGTATTTTTTAAAATAGTTGATTCCCAAGGTAATTTTAATTTTAAATAACTAGTAAATGCTTGATAAGACTCAAGACAATTTTGCTGAAATTTCTTTTCGCCACATTAGATTTCTAGAGCTTCTGAAAAATAAGATTTGGCTTTTGTGCCAATATCAATTAACTTTAGTGGTTTACAATTTTTTGAGTCAATCACATCAATCATCAGCAGCTCATTAATAGATTTTATGGAATTGCTGCCATTATTATTAACATAGAGAAGCTTAGTTTTGATAAACTTGGACATTAATGCAACAAAAAGTTTTGACATTTCAGAGTAAATCAGGTGAATTCTTGGTTTAATTGATTGAAATGTTTTTAAAAATATTTCAAAGTCATTTGCTATGAAAGCAATAAAAGAAATATACGGCATCGATATTTCATTTTGCAAAATATCTGTAATCCTCTTATATCTTTCAGTATCTCTAACAGTTGATTTAAAAGATGTAGTTGTTGGAAGAAATTTTATAAAATATTCACAAAGATTCTTGTGTTGTTCTAAAATCTGAGAACATATTCTTCTGAGTGTCACCCATCTTGTTGAAGAATGTCTTTGAATTAAGTGTGAAATAATTTCTGTTAGATCTTCTATTTGTCGATAGTCAGATTTTCTTGCAGCAGAATGTTTAAAGAAAAAGTTAACATCAATTGCAAATGAGTCAATGTTGAAATTTAAAACATTAACTCCTGCTCTAAATGCATTATGAACTATATGAAAAGGGCATGTGCCTATTGATATAATGTTTTTATTCAAATTTTTTATTTTCTCTGACGACTTTAAAAGTCTCTCAAACTTAATATTTACATTAGGACCACCCATACCAATATGGAGCATAAACTTTATGTTAAGTTTAACTTTTTCTACAAGCTCGAGGAAATGTTCTAACAATTTTTCAGCAGTACAATGGTCTACCATGACAGTTCCACAGTATGCAATTTTAATGCACTTGTGCTTTCTAGACCAATATTGTACATAACCATCATACTGTTTATTAACTTGTTGATTAGTAGATTCATCAAATTTAAATGTAAAATCAGTATCATTTAAATACTCCAATAACAACGTTTTTAAATATGGAAA